CTTATGAAGAAAGCAGCAGAGTGAATTAAAAGATTTGTAACGATCCCAGACAGTGGACCTCAACTACCTTTGTAGGATGCTTGACCTTATCATCCAACTTCAAAGACATACACTAGTGATGAACCTCAGTTGTTCAATCTAATTGAAAACAAATAATGAAATTTGCTAACCAAATGGATGTTACTCTATGCTTCTTTGATGGTGACTCTTAGCAGTTGCTTGCTTGCAAAAAGTCAAGACATAAGCTGAAAACCTGGGGACGCAGTAAAAACATTTGCCCGTATGTATTTTATTTGTATTTTACAATTAGGAATCCTAGGAGTCAGCACAAGTGATCGATGCATTCAGGCTTGCAGAGTCTGTGAGATTTACTAGAGCAATATAAGGCACTAATCCAAGGGTAGCCACTGGCTATTGTCTTGGAGAAGTCATGGAGTCCAGGCAACTGGAGAAGAGCAAAGATCATCCTGAGCTTTAAAAAGGGGAGAAAAGCAGAGCCAGGCAGTTTACAGACTAGGTATGCTAACTTCAAATACCCAGAAAGAGAGAGAGATATATATATCACACAATACATTTCTAAGCAGCTGGAGGATTACAAGGTCTTAAGAAACCAACTAAGATTTGTCACGAATAAACAAATCATGTCAAACTCGTCTAATTTATTTCTGTGACAGGATAATCTAAAAAGTAGTAGATGTGATTTATCTTGTCTTTAGTAAGACTTCTGGTGCTGTCCCACATGACATTCTTATGAGCTAACTGGGGAAATATGGGCTATTATGAAATCATTGTAATGTGAAAGCAGAGTGAGCTGAAAAATCTTGCATACTGAGTACTCTTCATTTATCAGAGGTTCTCTGGCCATCTGAAAAGCATAACAAAGAAGCCAAGAGAAGGCTGTCCTTAGTGTTTCATGCTGTTCACCGTTTGCATTAGTAATCTGGATGATGAGCATGCGCATGTTTAGACATGTGAATGAATCAAGGCTGAGAGAAATATTTCTAGGAGAAATATTTTTAAATTAGGAAAGTAAAATTCACTAAGAAATACACAAAGAATTAGACTGAGGACTGAAAAAGGAACTGAGTGCATACATATAAATGGGGAATTACTGACCAGGCAGTGATAGCTTGGAAAGGATCTGAGGAATTATAGTGGCTCAGAAAATGAAGGGAAGTCAATAGTATGGATATTTGTCTGAATTAACAGGAGTGGCATATGTGAGACAGCAGAAGTAATTGATTCTACTTGGCACTGCTTAGGTTTTTACTCGTATAGATATCTAGGTCTGGGCATCAACCTTAAGAAGGAACGCAAAGTGGAAAAACATCACTTGGACATTACTATAAAAAATAGGCATATCTGAATTTGTGGAACTAATCATCAGCAATTTATGCCTCCAGATTTGAGCTGAGACATGGTGGTGGGCTGCAAGGCATTTGCTTGTTCTGCTGCTCTTCATGTGAATGCACCCTACTGCCATTCCAGAACTGGCTGTATTAATACCGTTTTACAATAAACACAACAGTTATAAAAGCATTAATATCCACTGTACCTTTTGGAATACAAAGCAAATACAATGTACCAGTAAGGCTTAAGGGATAGACACAAGTCAGTGTAACACAACTGCTGAAGTGAAACCTATTCGTAATGTAAATAGTTAGCATACTGCATAGATTAGATCAACAGAGCTGCTTCCCTGTTGTTCAAGTATAGCATTGAAACCCACTCAATAGAAGTATAAATGACACCATATGTACCCACTGCAGCACAGGATGGGGCATACTGGTGTTATGAAGAAAAAGTGGATTTCAGTCCAGCTGTTGCCATTTAAAGTTAAGTCCAATCCTGGGTAGCTCTTTTCAGTGATTCCCCTTTCTATTGAAGATACCAAGACAAAATGCCAAAAAAAAAAAAAAAAAAAAGTATGCTACATCCATAAAGTTTATCAACATACAGACTCCAGGACAGGTATATCATTCATTGTTTTGCACCAGTGAGCACAGTAATATACAAAAGCATGCAAAATCATTCACGGTAAAGAAAGATTCTGTAACGTCACTCCTCAAGTAACTGGCGAACATTCAAACCACTCCTATTTTTCTAGGAAGACAATTCCTGAGATGCAAAGTTGAGTTGCATGTTGGTATTTTCAAAGATACTGTACTTCAGTGAAGCATACAGAAACAACTTGGTAGGGACATAACAAAACAGGAGCAAAATAATATCTAATACAGATACTCAGAGGCAAGAAATGATCATGGGGTTAAATTACAGTAAGCTGTGGGCTTTTTTATTTTGTTGAAAAGTACATCTTTTACTGGATTCAACATAGTAATAAGATGAAAAGAGGTCCACTGGCAAGGGAGGAAAAAAAGCAGAAGTTTGGAAATACTTGACACAACTAAAATAAATGACAGCTTTTTCAACATCCCATAGGCAGGCTGTAGTAGACGACGTTTTCCCATATCCATAGAGAAAGTAAAGTCTTTGATGTAAGTCAGTTTAGCACAAATACTGGTCTGTCTAGTTAAAACTTGCACTACTTGTTTCTTTTAATAGATAATATAGGTAATATCTAGCTTTCACTCCAAACCCATGCTTTAACACTCAGAATTTATCCATATTTAATTACAATTTTATCACACTTTTCTAATCAAATAAATTTACTTTGTCCTCCAAGCAATCACCTCAGTATTCCAGTATGTAAAAAATACTTTCATTATGTTTATTATAAAAATATAAATGTTTCCACTACAAATCATTTTACATTAGTAAGAGGCCATCTACAATTGCACAATATATAATCTAAATGAGTAAGTAATGCTTTGAAATACAAGTTAAAGTAAATACATTTTGCCAATCAAATCACATCTATACATTGCTTATTGAATGCTAAGTAACAGCACAAAACTAGATATGTTAACAGAAATAAATAAAATGGAAACTATATTTAAAGATACAAAACCAATAGTATGGCATGTCATTTCATGAGTAGTTGCATTTTGCTTGATGACAATAACCGATGCAAGTCCTGTACAGAAGATGGCCACACGAATTCTAGTATCGCTACTCCACAATGAAGAATTGTACACTGCTATGTATACATATGTACACGGGGACAGGAGTATAGGATGCTTGCAACAGAGGCCACTTACAGTACAAATCAACTTTTGGCAGGGAGAGAAAACTAAATGTACTTTAAAACTCTCTACTGCTAATAGCAAAGAAAAGCAAAACTGAGTTTCTTTTTTCCCAAGCATCAGTGAGATTTAATCTTTTATGCTGAGCATGCTCAAATGGTGGGCAAGGAACATGACATGATACTAAGAGAAAATTGAGGGCGGTTGGTGCAAAGTTTCCAGTCATCATCTAAAACTCTAAGAACTGGTTCTGTGTTTTCAAAAGCATTTCACAGATGTCTTCCCCCCACCCCAGCCCCCTCGCTCCCACTCTCCAACGGCAGAATGAAGCTGAAGAGAAACGTCACGAGGAATACGTTATAAAAAGCTGTCCCCACATAGACAATGTCTGCAAATGGATTTTGGTGACTTAAATTCACTAACAATGTCTGATTTAGAGCAATCTCAAACTGAAGAAAAGAAAGATTCTGAATGAACCAAGCAATGGAAAATACAGCTTTTATATTCAGCATGCTGCATTTCACAATAGATTGTGGCAGATAAGGAAAAGTGTTCTTTACAACTTAAGTAAGTGCTTTATTTTAATTTTCTTCCATTTTTCATTTTTTATTTCAACTTACTTTAAAACCCATTCATTTTTCTTGCAGAAAATATTACTAATTATTATCCTGTGAGTGTGTTTCAAATCCAGTCCTTTACAGCATGCTCACTGCCAGCACTCATTAAAAAGTCTCTAATTCTGCTTCTGTTTAGCAATGTGTGATAAACGTTGTGTCTCTACATTTTATAAGTCCTGGACCCATGAAGAACAATTTAAAAGCTGATTCAGCCACACATATCCTAGGAACTGACTCTTCCCTTACTTACGTGCCCTATGCTACAAGGAGCTTCAAAAACGAGACCAATACAAGAAAGAAAGAAAGCCCGACTAGTTACCTGCTTTTGCACACCCAGCGAAAGGCGGCGTGCCATATAGTCATCTGCCTCCCATACAGCCTTGGACTTTTAGGGACTCGCTGTTATTCATCAGAATCAAGTTTAGATTCCAGTATGGCAAGTTGGGAATCGGAGTGGCTTCCATTAGTGCCCAAAGCCTGACGCCTGCGTGCCTGGCATCACTTCTAGAGCATTAAGAAGCTCGCCTGTACGCAGCACAAGAAGTGCCTCACACTGATTTAAACCACTCATTTTCAGAGCAGAGAGTTCTGTCTGCTCAGAACTGTGACTGATGTGCTCCAGAGCAACAGCTTAAGAGTTTGCTATTGGGAAGATGCTGAAGATGGTGGAGGGCTCTCAAATCCCACCTTCCAGGCTCCTTTTTCCACTGGGAAACGTGAACGCTCTCCTAAAGATAGGCTCCTTTCCACTTTCAACAAACAGGTGCCTAAGGAACCTGTGCCAAAACCTCAAGTGCCCTACAGAATGGCAGTGCCTGGACAGAGGCCTTCTAGCTCAGACTTAGGTAAAATTACATACCAAAGCCCTATTTCACAGCTTAAGTCATCCTTTTAAACAATTTACTTAGCCTTGGCTGCAGGTCACCATCCCAGCGTAACTGCCAGCGTCTGCCCACATGGTAGTACACTTCCCAGTTCCTGAGCAGAGCCTGCCAGATGGAAGCCAGAAATGGACCACTCCCCAGTGAACTCAAAAAGCATCCTCAGTTAATGCAGGATGCAACCCTGACTTTTTTATGTTTGCTAGGCAAATCCCCCTGAGAATAGGGGGTCCTTATTTGGACAGGAAAGCAGGCCTTTGGGAAGTAAATGAGATGTATGTGCTTGACCGGGGCAGATACTGATGTAGACATCGATAACGCAGACAACTCTGCCAAAACTCAAGCCCAGGTTAAAATACCACTCACAGCAAATGGAAGGAATCTCAAGTCCAGATACTTTGTTTAGTGTCAGAGCTGGAAAAAAGATCATCTTTCTTTCCTTCTGTATTTCACAGATGAAGTTATGAGTATAAAATAATCTAGTAATTAACCCTCGGACAATTTCTCAGGTTGAACCAATGAAGTTTTGATAATATTTGGCACTTGGCAATAATACAGCCAGGTTAAGGTATTCAAGCATAAATATAAACAATAATGGAAAAAACAAAGGAAATAAATAAGTCTTTAAAAAATTAAGACTTGTTTCTATTTAAATGAACACAATTAGGGAAGCTAACATAATGGCAAAAATCTTTTGTCAACTAACTCAAAGTCACTACAAACTTTATTTCTGTGTTCCTTTCTGAAGTTGAAATAGCATGTTACAATGACATTATAGTAAATATGGCCAGACAGGTTGTGAGGTATAGTCCTCTATTTTCCTTGCTTTTAAAGAAATAAAATACCTGTTACAGATCTCTTCTGTACAAAAATACTGCAAGTCTTTCTTTCTTCGCGTTTGCTGTATAGGTCAAATACACAGCTTTTATGTCCATGGGGTTTTGTGTTATTCAGTCACTTAATATTCAAATGGCTCTAGGTTTTAGTATCACTGGTTTTTACTTGGAAGGATTTTTTACATATTTTTTCTTTTGACATTTACTATCTGCATTAACAGTCAGTCAAGAGCACCCACCCTTTAGGATTAACAGATAGAAAACAAGTTCACTCCTACTTTTAAGGCATTTATACTCAATATTTGAGTGTCTTAGTGGGTTTGAAATTTCAACCATTATGTTTCCAAAACTGTTGCAAAGAACTCCTTTAAATTCTGCCGTTTATCAGCCATCACTTTTGCCCTGTGATGCAACTTTTCTCTTTTTTTCTCTCCTGAGCAACATCATTTTGGTACCTTACACAGGAACAGGGCTGTTCTTTGTGTGAGTTTCTAGAGCTTTGATACTGCTGACAATCTTCTTTTGAGGCCCCACAACTGTAACACCAACTTTCTTCACATCACTGGAAAAAAGAGAAGATGCATCGGGTGAGTGAGCATACTATCTCTGTGTTTTCTAGCGCTGACGAGAGCAAACAGCAATCAACTCCCTCATCTTATATTGCTGCATTGGAGTAGCCTCCAGGTACGGTGATATTGCTGAAACACAAGCCCTTGTACAAAAAATACTGAGAGCCATTGTATGAAAACAGCAGGCGGCTGCAAAAGAGTAAAAACTCATTTAGCCTTGTTGTGTTGGCTTACCTAGAAGAAAAGACAATGAAACAGTGTTCTCCGGTGATACATGCACTGAGATTTAGGGGCAAGGGGCTCACTTCTGGGCCAGCTGTGATCTTGAGCCTCTCTACCATCTCCATCCCCCTATCAGCCTGATGGCTTTTCCTGAGCAGTGCTGACATCTCGTTATTATGTGCTGAGCCCTCTGAATGGTTGTCTTCACTCTGATATCAGCATTGAGATTAACGGCTACGTGGCCAAGCTTCCAGCGTCTACCCTGTTTTTCACCTCTTGTTTCTCCAGGCTGCCCAGTCTCTTTGTTCCTTGTGCAACACAGAAGTGGTTTAACACTTGTGAAGGGCCAATTAACCAGTGGCTCACAGGAAATTGGGCATTCCTAGAGGATTTCTGCACTGTCCCCAAAGGGTAATTGTTATAAAAAGCCATTAGCAGCCTTTTTATAGTTGCAATAATACACTAATTAATGGCATTGATGTGTTTAATTGTCGGTACCGCAGCTGCTGCTTACTTCTTCACAACTTGTCATGTATCCAGCTAGCCCAACAGGGAATCAAGATTTCCTTTGGCAGTAAGTTCATAACTGTACTTGATGCCTTTTCAGGTGCAGAGAGAACATTACCCTACTCTTCCATATCACAAAAACAAAGACGGATTGCATTTAAATGTCATAAACTTGCAAGTTGTAAACTTCCAAGTTTAGCACGTTTAAATGTCAAAACTGGAGGCAGGAGGGAGTTCAGCCCCTGAATAATTTATTAGCATGTAAGAGAAAAGCAGCTACAAAGAGCCTGCTCTGTCTCACCTGGTTTGACGGAATATGGGATGGTCAATAAAAGAAAAGATCGGCACATGTGCCAGCTGTGGGGAAACCCCCATATAAAAGGCAGAATACAAAGAATCAAGAGAGAAACTCCTAAACTGTGAGTGGAAAGAAAGTGATGCTGGTGTACCAGATAATGCACAGTGCTACTGTATCAGAAGAAACTGGGAATTTCGTTGTCATCAGTGACAAAACCTATGGGACTGTGGCCTTCACGGAGTCACCAGAGCATCTAAGTTTCCTGCAAGCATATTGCAACTACAACAATAATTTACATTTGTCTCTTTCAGTGTAGGAATATTTTAAAGCTGGAAACTCTGTATAAAACCACTACTCTTATGCTTATGTTTAAACTTGTACCTCCAGCCACAACCAATGATGAAGACCTATAGTCAATTCAAACTTACTCTGTAGAAATCTTGGCTATTGTATCACAGGTACTGTACTCCACGCCCGTGAAAATGTCTTTGCACTGTCCTGTCCGAAAACCATTGAGCCAATCACCTGTCGTGCGGAAGGCTGAAATGTCAATATTACTTTGGTCCAGGAGAAGATTTGATGGCCTGAAATAAAACAGAATATGATGAAAATTAGGGAGCAGGGATACATATGGATTTATTTTGTGTCTAAACTTAGCACTGGCATTGGCAGGAGCTTCCAGGCAAGATGTGGCTTTTCTGTTTGTCTATGGAAGTTATCTGCTGCTGAGACCACCACATGTACTCACGCTGGCAGCTCTGCGCTGTGTAATCATCTTGCTTATGAGCACCAGCTTCTCATGCCCGTGTGTAAATCACCGAAGCATCACCAATTAATGAAGTGTATTGTTACCTCACAATTTAATGTGTGAAGCATTAGCAAAGACAAGCCTAATTTAGATTATATTTATGTGATTTGCCTAGTCCCAAACAACACACAAATGATGCACACTCTAGACTCCGAGGTGAGCACATTGGTAGAATTTACACATATTAAACGTTCAGAGTATTGCAGCCCACTGACAAATCCTAAATGCCGCTACTAAATTAGAAGCACAGATAATAAGACACTAGTGCCTTTAAAAAATTTATATCAAGTCTAAAAATTAAGTGTTAAGTGAATTTGAGACAAACGTAACTGCACGAGACTTGCATTCTGCAGTGCATAGAGTCAGAAATGAGGAAAATTGTTATTAAATACACTAAACCAAATGTAAAAATTAAAATGTAAAATTAATGCTCACTTTAAGACTGAACCTTCCATAAGGATATCATACAAAAAATTTAGAAGTGAGACCTGAATCATCTCCTGCCTTTGAAATTAACTTGGTGCTTGTGAAGGATGCTGAACTGACATGATTTGCATCCAAGTTCTCTACTTAGAAAACAATGAAGAAACCGGTAAGAAACAAACAAAACAGACACAATGAATCAAACAAAACATATATCCATGCTTCTTTGCCCATTTAAACCTTTTTTCATCTGCTTAAGTCTACCTATAAGCTGTTGAGAAAAAATTATCCCTCTCAAAATAATGATTAAATGTATAATGTTTTTATGAAGAAGGAATATATTGCAGCTGACCTTGCATATTGCAAACAGCAAAAATGGCGCTTCCCATATTGATCCAGAAATTAATTTCCGTCTGCTATGAATACTCTTGTTTTCAAGGTCTTGTGAAGCTTACTGTAACTTCTTATTTGAAAGCGTCAAGACTAAAAATAAATGCCAGCCCTTCCCCATGATGTCACTAGAGTCAGGATCTACCACACCTCAATTTAGCCATCTAAAAATACCACAAATAGGCCCAGCTAGTTTCTGAACTATTGCTGCAGTCCATAGAAAGACTCACGCATTTCCAGGCAGGGTTTTTTTCCTCTCTGAAACAGGTCTTCCAGGCAAACAGCTTGGAGGAGACACCCAGCTCTCAGAGAGGTGAGTGAACCTGTTCTCAGCTGTTCCTCCTCACTGACTTGCTATCTTATTTTAAGAGGTGTGAGAAGCCCCTGGATAGCAATAGGATCAGTAATTTCTTTCTACTGACAAGACATCTTACTAATTCTAGTCTCTCAGTGCTAATTAGTACAATAATGACTTCCTCGACTAGTCAGATCTTATTAGAGACATCAACTCTATTTCTGCATTTTTCCCTCCACTGACAAACATATGTCCATACTGGACAGCTTTTTAGCCCCCATTCAGAAACATACGTACTCCATTTTAAGTAAAGTACCTTATGGGTGTCTACCTCTGGCTTAAAGCTAAGTATGTGCTTAGCTGTGCTATTATGATGGTGCTGCTCATGAGCACAGGAGACTGGACTAGGGGATGTTCAAAGCAGACTGTATAGTTGCAGTGATAACTATTTTCTGCCCCATAATTCTTTTTCCCTGTGGCTCTAGTGAAACATCACCTGCACAGGAGTCTGACTACTACAGCTGAATCCATCTGAAGTGACTTTTGTCACCGGAAAGAAGCGAAAATGAGAGGTGGTTAGACTAACACCGAAATTTAAAGGCAGTGCTCACGCAGTGTAACGGGTATGTGACAGCTACTGGTACTGGAGAACTGATCTGAACTGTAAAACACCCTCTTCACCCCAAACCCAAGGCATCTCTGAGCATTGGAAAAAACATAAATGGGTGAAGTTGTAAAGGGACCAAAGAGAACAAAGTATTAAAATACCAGTGAATTTAATCTCATAAGCAGCCTAGAAAATCCAAACAAATCTTCTCAATCCCAACACAAGTCGTTATGAAGTTTCATCAAGACTGGCAGCATTACAATAGCATACCCTTGCAGTACATCTGACTTGCACTGGAATCAGGAAACACCACATCAGTTACACCGAGACCTTTACCCTTTACCTTTGAAGAAAAGAACAATATAGCTTTGCGAAACAATAACATTTGATATTGGCTACATATTAAACAGCACCTTTTACTTCTGATGTTTTGCCAATTGTTATCAATCAGCTGATATCTTTCAGGCTCAGAAAATTTTTTTAGTATCTTCTTCCTTTCTGGGATTGCAGGCCCTAATTAAAGAGCTCATTAGACGCTTGAAAATCTTAACTTCAAAACCACAAATGCACATAACACCGCTGTAGATTCACCATCAATTTTCACCAAGTCTCAGAGCAGCGATGTCCCTGATGGGACACCTTTCGCCCGACTACCTTCCCTCCAGAGCCCAGCCAGGACCAGGAGCTGCTGCAAATGACTGTGATCACTCGCATGGACTACGGACCTCGCATCCTGGGAACAGCCGTAGATGGAAAGTGACGGAAGACACCAGAAACCTGCTCTGCCCCCAAAACACTAAAGAAGGGAAAGCACAGCATGGCCGCACTGACACAAAGACTGAGCTGAGGACAGAAGATGCAGCACACTTCAGGTTACTGTTCTCGTGCTAAAAGCAGATCTGAGGCACCTACATGATACACAGCTTTAAATGCCCTCCAGTTAAAGGCTCAGATTTGATAATCAGGCCCAAGATATTTTTATTCAGTAGCTGTACAGCCTGCATCTCACTGACTACTGTTTGTCCCATGAAGAGCCAATGCTTGTTATTTATAGTTTTCTGGGTATAGCATCTGGAATCCCAAGACATTTATTAAGAGTATTTATGAAGTGTTCTTAGTGATAAAGCTTGGAGGTTTTTTTTTTCCAGCCTAGTATGTCTTTTTAAGTTAAATCTAATAAAACAAGGCCTGACTCAAGAATCACTAATGAAAAAAAAAAGTATAAACAAGTTGAAATAGAACAGGTCTCTAGGATTAGGAATTAGAGTGGCCCAAAAGAGCTTTTATGTTTATGACTTGGATCAAAGTATCATCAGGACAAAAAATATGACCTAATTTTAATGCAAGTGACCTCAGAATAACCAGGACTGTAAAGTATCATTTTTCTCCTTGTAGGATTCCAAACAAAAATTAGTTACTTTCCTCCTCAGAGAGGACATCTGGACAGTTTATCAATGAACAGGAATTTGTCTCACTGTGAAGAGTCTGTGATGTCTCCTCGCATGCACCAAGGGAAAGCTGGGCTTTCAGAGCATCTGCACACATCGGCAGTTTTTTTTCCCCCTGACCCAGCCCCTAGACAGAAGGTCTGAACATGAAATTTATGGTCTGGGTGATGTGCGCCATGAGCTCACACTTTACTAGACAAATTAGACGGGTTGCAATCCGTGCAGCTGTAAACGACGTCCTGCAGGGTTCCACCTGATCTTTTACAGCTTTTCATAAATCAGTACCTACTAGCTTCAGAAGAGAGTCATTAAAAAGAAATCATGGAAATTACATGTTTGCTCAGGGGAAGTGAAATAGAACATTTCCCTTTGTCTTTTCTTCTCTCCCCTCCTTTTTTTGGAACTTTCTTTACTCTGTTGCTTTGACCAACTATGATATACCCCATCTTTTGACAGGCATGGAAGGACTTTCTATCCTGTTCATCCTGACTGTGTGTCTATCTACAGAGTTATATTTAATGACATGTGGTGCCTTGAAAAAAATCAGCAAGACTCAGGTTAGAGAGACAAATTTAACAGCGAGATGCCAGTTACAAAATGCCCTGTTGCTGAAAGCTTTCTCTGGCTGTGCCCATTACATTAACAGTTGGAATTAACCTTTGAGTCATTTGCAGTAGAAAGGAGAACTATAGTTTGTTATCATTAGCACAGCTTTTTGTCACAACACAGGGAAACTTTTGCTGCACCTTATAGTAATGACAAAGACCACAGAAAACGTCATTAGAACCCTTCCCAATACAGCATGAAAATCTCATCTCTGGTCAGCTGCTGCCTGGCGAGAAAGGGATACATTAACTTGTAAAATCCAGGAACTGAGACAAATAAAAGGAAAATGTCCTGCCACTTCTTCAGCATGAAGGGTGGGTGATATTCTGCAAATATGCAGAGAAGCTGTGCACACACAATCCTGGACTTCGTGTTGCAGGAGCCTCTCTCTTTCCATCCCTTCCTCCAAACAGCACAACCAACCTTTAGTTTTTAAATCTGGACTTCCCCTTCCACAGTCAGTTTCTTTTAAAGGGGAAAGCATTTAAAAAACATAAAGTCATTTCCTGTGGCAATTTTTAGGTAATTATAAGCTGATTTTGTAAAGTGAAATTGCTCCCTAGGAGGGAGCCAGGCCTAGTCTGAACACAAATCCTATGTGCTTTATGATTATGGCAAGCTGAAGCACAGAATTCAGGTCTAACAAGAAGGATATCTCCTATTTCAAGAGAAAAATAAACCAAAAACCAACAGCTGGCATAGAAAGCAAATTTTAGTTCTACCTTCTACAGCAAGCAGAATCATAAGTTTACATGTGTAACAATAGTAAATAAATGACATGCCGAGAAGTAGAGTCATTGTGTTTACTTGATTATCCCTGGACCTTAAAGATAAGAATTTTTGGAGTTCCACCTCTTCATGCCCATTTTTAAGGTACTCTTAGCAAAATTTTAACTTAGTCCTGAAAATACAATTCACCTCTTAGGGTGGCATATTTGCTTTTCTCAAGGGGCTTCATAGCACACTTGCACACTGTAAGAATAAGCAGGTTGTGACTACTCTCTTTG